GGCATCGCTACTAAGAGCAAGAAGCTAGTAGATCCTGGCATTGCTACAAGGAGCAAAGAGCTACTAGTAACAAAGGGCATCGCTACTAGGAGCAAGAAGCTAGTAACTCCTGGCATTGCTACTAGTAACAGCCCTACCCATTCTGGGGGGGGACCTGGAAAATTGTAACTTACATTTTCCCTTAACATAGACCTAACAAAATGTAAGTTACATTTGTTAGGCAAACCACCAAAAAATGTAACTACTTTAAGTTACATTTTTCAATATACAAAAATGTAACTAAATTGTGGAAAATGTAAGTTACATTTTTCAGGCCTTTTCCAGGGAAAATGTAACTTGCATTAAGTCACATGTCAGGCTGTTTGTGTGAGGCTGTTTGTTCCTTATATCCTGGGTCATAGTGGAACATATATGGACCTGACTCCCAGAACAAAATGTAACTTAGGTGTGTCCAGGCCTGGGATATGTGCAATTTCACCTGGTATGTGATGTGTGAAGTTGGGCTTGGTTACATTTAAGTGCTCCTTTCTTTGCTAGGTTGGTTGTGTTTTGGGGTGTGTGAGGTTGTTTGTCCTTTGTATCCTGGGTCATAGTGGAACATATATGGACCTGACTCCAAGAACAAAATGTGGGTCCTTAGGTGTGTGCAGGCCTTGGATGTGTGCATTTTCACAAGCCTGTCCACCTGGTGTGTGCTTTGGTTGTCTTGTTCTGTTTTGGTGTTGTGTGAAGATAATTGTCTACCGCCAGAACATGGAGAGAAAATCTGCGCAATGGGGGGGCCTGTAAAATGTAACCGTCGGCCTCGCAGAGTCCAAGTTACAATTTCCAGACCCCCCCAATCCTTGTTTTTTTGCTGACAGTATGTCACGATCACATCTGCACCGGGGGGACCTGTAAAATGTAACATGAAGGCCTCGATAGTCCAAGTTACAATTTCCAGGCCCCCCCCTCCCCCCCCTCTTTTTGGTAGGGGGGGTCTGAAAATGTAACTATAGACCTGGCAGACATAATGTTACATTTTTAGACCCCCTCCCCCCCCCCTTCATGCACCTCAATTGGGGTACCTGGGGGGGGTAAGTTACATTTTTCGAGGGGGGGAGAGGAGGTCTGAAAATGTAAGTTACATTTTTCAGACCCCTCCCTCAAATCCATGGTTAAGGGGGTGGGGATCTAGTAACAATAAGCTACTAGTAACAAAGGGCATCGCTACTAGGAGCAAGAAGCTAGTAGCTCCTGGCATTGCTACTAGTAACAAGAAGCTACTGGTAGCAAAGGGCATCGCTACTAGGAGCAAGAAACTAGTAGCTGATGGCATTGCTACTAGTAACAAGATGCTACTAGTCAACTAGACGCCAGCAAATCCTACGAAAGCCGTGGAACAAACCCCGTCGCCCCGGTGTGCACATTCTCAAGTGGTCAGCTGTCTGGACATCGAGACATACGTCGAGACATACGTCCTCTATGCGCTTTGCTTTGCAAAGACAGCTGGTCGCATAGACACCTGGTTTACGTCCTCTATGTCGTTGGGTTCACCCTCTGCGCTGGTCCTCAGCCCAGGCCACTTCCCGAGTTCGCCCGAAGTCCCGAGTTCGCCGCCGAGTCGTTCGCACGGATGCCCAGCCGGTTCGAAGAGCCGGGCTCATTTGGGTATGTGAAAAGAGACATCAAGACACACCCAGGAACTCATTGACCAGGGTGTACCAGGGCTTTTGAGGGGAGCCATGGGCAGCCTATTTTTGAGCAAAGGGAGTCATAGTAGGAGCCAGAGCCATTTCTGTATTGTGTACTAACTAGCTGGTGATGCGTTGATCACATAAAAAAAAACACAGGACCGGGCCCAACAGCGGTCAGGACGACTGCCAGCGTGGGTTCCAGCATCCATTTCACTGAGCGCCAACCTGAGGGCGAACATCCAAGACGAACGTCGCCGTCCGACGGCCCTGTGGGAGCAGACGACCCTTTAAGCTGCGTCTCACGCTGAGGCAGTCACCCACCTCTTTTGGTCCGTGGGCTCGAGAGCTTGGGGCCCAGACCAGAGGTGTCCGTCATCCAGAAAAATGATTGGCCACCCCCTCCCCCAAAAACTCAGACTAATGATGTCATCTCTGCGCAGCCTTTTGACCTACGAGCAGATTGGATGTTGCACATCTTCAGGTTTGCTTTTAAGCTATGAGACCTGAAATGACCTGAAAGAGATGTTCACCATTATTGTTATTATTGTCATTAGTGTCACTACTGTTAATAACATTTAATAATATGTCTAATTGTTCTTTTGCAAAGCCTCATTGAAACCTACATCCATCCAAACCGTTCATTATCCATGTTCAGTTCAAGGGCGTGCAAGCAGGATATCTTGAGGTCTACAACTACCATGATTATTTAACAGGTTTTGACGGGCCAGCTCCAGTTTTTTTTGGGTGGAAAAAGTGATCATGTGGCCCACAACCCTATCTTGTGCACCTACGCCTACGCACACACACAGACACAGACACATAAACAATTGACACACAATCCCCAACCCGAAAAATCCTTGATCCATCTTGATCCGAGTTGGAACACTGCCGATCTCCGGGTCGCCACACTCTGTTCCACGGCTGCTTTCTGAACCTCTTCCTCTTGACGTACTGTGCTGCCCGCCAAGCGCAAGCACCTCCATCCGCCTCGAAATGGACCGCGGCTCCGCGCAACGGCGAGCAGCTCCGTTCCCGGGTTCCAATGGGTACCAGAATTGGTACCTACCAGATGCACTTGAACACTAGGTACAAATACACATCCTGCATCTGTGTGACACACCTTTCGAGCACTAAAATATGCACCCCGATGTGTTGTTCAAGCTGCTGATTTTAACCAATCTCGAGGTTTCTACCGTTCTGGTGCTGGGTGCCACCCACTCTCGCGGATCATCTCCAGCATGGCCTCCTTCTCGAAGCGTAGCTCTGCCTGGGTTGTGCAGGGAGCTCTGCGGTGATCCGATCGCAGGAATCAACTCCGATTGGCCGCGGTGGGCTGGGCCAGCCGCTGGCTTTTGTGAAACACATGGGCTGTTTGTTAGGTCGTTGCGGCTGGCTGTCTCTGAAAAGACTGCAGTTTCTTCGCCCAAGCTGTGTCCGTGTCAATATGCCACATCAAAAGCTCAGGTGCTGGACCTTTTCTGTAAGACTGAGCCCTGGGACTGGGCCCGGGGGAATGTCCTCGTGCAACGAAAAAAGCCATGCAGTCGTGGCACAGAAAATAGGGGTTTCAGTCAGAGTCAACGTGGCAGGGCAAACAGCGGAAGTCGCAGATAGAACAAATTGCATTCCATCCCCTCACCAAAACCCAGCTTGAAGAATACCCTTGAAGGCCCTGGATCTCGTCAGTCAACGCTTAAGCGTTGAAAAGTTTGGTCTTTCCCCTCCCTCTTGCTCCCATTTGCTCCCTGTGCCCCCCAAAACACGGGCACCTTGCGGGCAATGGAGAGCAGGCATTCCGTGGGAACCTGGTTGGGACCAACTTCGCGCCGGGGTCCTTTTGAATGTGCACCCCCATGTCCCTTTAGGCTTTTACTCGTTGTTTGATGGTGTTTGATGATTTACAATGGTGCCCATGTCGGTGGAGTTTTTTTTCAACATGTGTTTTTGTTCGTATGTTTCGATGTAGGGTACGTTGCAGGTGGATCACTGGGCAGCCAAGGAAGAGGTTCCTGAGACCATCTCCAAGTGCCCCAGCAGCAGCAAGTTGATGATGTTCCAACCAACACAGAAACACTATATGAGACCAACCCTTTTCCTTCCTTAGGAAACGGTGTCCCTTTCAAAGGCTGCCAAGGGGGCACCCATGACATAGTGGTGTATCCATCCATCATTTTATTGTAGATTGTTAATTTAATACATATGTGTATATATATATATACACAGCTATATATATATATATATATGTTCTTAGATTGATACACACCCTAGAAAGGTGCCATCTGGAGTCTCTCTTCATGTTCAAACACAAAACTTGGAAACAGCCACAGCAATCCACCCAAAAAAACATCACGGTCAGAACCTGTGAGGCTCCCATGTTGGACCCCGTGGTGCCACCGACGCCTCCAGCTCTGCAGCCGCAGCGTCCGCCACCTGCGGGCGTCACCGGGGCGCGCTTGTTGACGCGTAACCGGGCGCTCTTTCTCTCGTTCCTTTGGCGTTTTGGATGACCGTCGGTGACCGTCGGTTCCTACGTTCGGTGACCGTCGGTGACCGTCGTTTTTTTCGAGAAAGACACCTGGTGGTGCTCATGATATTCAATGTTCTGGAAAGTGGCTGAGAACAGGCGCTTTTTCCCCATAGCATGGTGGCTTTAAAAAAGGAAGGCGCCCCGAGGTGGTCAGATGCAAAAACAAAATATTATGGAATCGTAGGGAGAGGAAATGATGAGATGACAAGAGATAATAATGCTACAAAGCACCTCTTGGATTCGGGCCGTTTCAGGCCTCGGGGTTGCTCTGCGTGATCGCGATGGCGAAATCCACATCGCTTCTGAGGTGCCTGGGGGCGAACGAAACGGACGACACGTCCGCACCCATTTGGTGCGAACGCCTCGGGAAAGCATGGCCTTGCCAACTAGTAGCTCCGGGCATCGCCACTAGTAGCAAGAAGCTACTAGTAGCTTCTTGGACATCGCTACTAGTAACAAGTGCATGGCTACTACAAATACGCCTTGCCAATGGTTGATGGGTCCACCTTTGCTTTTGCCAATGGTTGGATTGACTGGGGTGTGCTGAGAGATTCATGGGAGCAGTTAGGTTCCCAATGAACAAGTACACAATTTCTGGGTTCTGAACTGAGAGATCAAGAGATGTTGGAAAGCCTCTGGGAGACTGCACATCCCCCTAGCTGAATACTCAAACAACGGGTATGTGATGTTCAATGTTCAACATTGTTCAACAGTGGCTGCTGAGCCAAGTGGTTCGTATGGATCCTTGCAAAGCCTGGTCAACACAGCTTCTGTCACCTAGGCAGTCGCCCCAAAAATGAGAGTTGCTACAATATCCTCGCACATTCAAAGCCACCCAGTGCACCCAAAATTTGATCTGTCCAAGCCCCACCGAACACTGCTACCTCTCCTGCTTGTGCCCCTCAGTGCCCCTGCTTGTCGACGAACTGCAGAGCCTCTGTGGTTTGCTTCACCGCCTCCAATGAGTCAAATCAGTTCGAGTGAGTTGGAGACTCCAATCGTCCAAGACTCCAAGGGGAGTGATGTTTTTGGCACCCATTCAGGAATTCAAACATCATAACACCTGTCGTTCTCTTGGAAATTCTGCTGATACCGTCCGCCAGCGGGACACAGGACGCATCTAAAGACTGATGAGTGTGGTGTTGTTATATTGCTTGGCCTGCTTGGTCAAGAGAACAAATTGTGGTGTAGTTTGGTGGGGTCAAGCTACAAAGAACCCCCACCAGAAACCAATGAGTTCCGCCAAATGTAACAAGGTTCCAAGTCAGTTTTGATCTTGCCAACTTTTGATTGGATAGCCCTTCATGGATGTTGTTTCTGGTTTCCACACCACAGGGATTCCGTGTAACATCGTATAACAAATGGGTTTGCAGCGAAGCATGCAAACTCTTCAGCGTGTCCACCACTGCCCACTGCGATGCTTTTCATGCGTGGATCACGGGTGTTCGCGCAAGTCAGTCGAAAAGGCTCGGATTGAGAGCCGCTCGCTGTGCCCTGCGCAGCGCCGCCGTGCCATGGGCGAGGCAAACTTAGAACTCATCGCCATAGCCCTCCTCTTCGCCTTTCAAGTGGCAAAGTTGACCATCGGGAATCGTTGGGACTTGTTCAGTTTTTGGACGCATTTTTTGGACACGTGTCAATGACATTCAATGACACTATATGTAATGACACATGTCACCACCGAAACGGGCATGAGTCATGATGATATGTTATCCTCGCTCGAAACAGAAATTCTGGGCAACGAAGCTAACGATGGCTGAGCTGGAGAGCTGGATTCGAATGAACACAACACCCCCGTACGCCCCACACCCTGTCCTTCGCCCTCCGCGGTTTCAATGCCAACCTCTTCGTAGTCTTTCCTCAAGAGAGAAGCACTTGACTTCGCACAGGCAAACAGCTGCTACTATACTCATCCTGGGGTTGATGTATTGTAAGGAACATGTAAAGAACCATGCTTTTTTGCTATTGGTTGTTGTACATACGCTTCCAGTCCGCATGAATGCTTGCAATTGAATCCTGTCTTCAAATGGTGGGCACACTGACATTGCTCCTCCAAGAAAATGGAACAGCTGGCAGCCAGAGTGCTGAAATTCCTACGTGACCCTGAACAAGGAACCCAACTCACGTGTGTCGCGGATCCTGCGGTACAGCACGCGTGTGCTCACCAAACAAGCTTTTTACAACATGGTCATAGCACGGGGAAGCTGCACTTTTGAAGGAGTTCCACCGATACTGCGACTTGCCCTTCCCCTCCAATCGTTTCGTCAAAACAAGTGAATTGCGAGCACAATGCCCTGAAAAGGTCGACGAAGTTTTCTGTTCGACACACCCTGACACTATCGCCCCAAAAAATGGCACCCTGACTGGGGGATTCTTAACCAGAAGGATACTACCGAGTCTCCCACGAACAGGCAGGCGGTTGGGAAGAGTCTAGGTCGTCCAAATGATCAACACAAACCAAACAGTGAAGCGAAAGATGTTAAATATACAGTGTATAATATATATAATATACAACAGAAAAATACAACGAACATCATTAAGCTGACCCTCTTTCTTGAGATTATCAGTCTGTTCCTTTTTACATTTCTATACAGGTCTCCCGTCTCTCTCGTCTCTTCCGACCCCCCAAACAAAATGGCGAACCAACGAACACCTCTTCGCGGATCAGTGGGGCGGCCACCACCGGGCCGTCGTCCGGTCGTCGCTCGCTTCGGTCGTCCCAGCGACTCCAAGGCAGCCAGGTCCTCACGAGCCTCCGAGAACTCGCCTTCCTCCATGCCTGTGGAGGGCGCTGGAGCTCGCCGCTCGAGAGGTCACTCACCGGTGTCTTCCACATGTGTCCCACAGAGATGGAAGATCAGCCCACGGAGATGGGGTGGAACATGGCTGGACGACATGGCTGGCCCACATGCCATACACCGTAGCTTGAAAACGAAGAGCTGGGGGTTGGTTCCCTCTTGGATGGACCACTAGGTGAATCCCTTGGACCGCACGTGAATCCGCAGGGTGGACGGTGGCTTCGCTCTTGAGGGCACCAAGCTACTGTGGCGGGGGCGGGGTGACCAGAGAAGGTCCCCGAGGGTGGTCCAAAGGATGGATGTTCTCCAAGCTCCAAACCTTCCAGTTGGATCAAAAACCATCGACTCCATCGGATGGCGGACGCCCCTTTTTCGGCCCCTTCTTTCGCCCCCGGTCAACGAACGCTTGGGCCTTCGCCCACGTAGTGATGGACAAAGGCGCGCTTGCTGTACCTGAGGTGGCGAAAATGGCGACTGAAGTCGCTCCGTCACCAGCGGAAACAGTGCCAAAACACGTCTGAGAAAGAGAAGCGGCCCAGACTTGAGTACTCCTGAGGCACTCCTGGCACTTCTGCACTTCTCGTTTCTCCGCACACGGCACTGACGGAGACGAACGTGACGGGGCACATGAGGTCAAACTTGTGGTCAATGCGAGAGAAGACCTCTGCAATGGCCTTAGGACGAGACCCATGTTCGAGAATCGCACCGATACCTGGTTGGACTGGATCTAGTTCTACGCTGGTCCACCCAAACAGTGGCTGGACCCTTTTGTAGAAGGGAAAATCATGGACAGTCACCCCTTTCTGAGACACACCCCAGAAGTGAATTGCTCAAAAAAAAAACACACCGCAGCTCGTCCGTTTGGTCCGAGGAAGGCACCGTGGAGTTGGAGATCATGCAGCACGCACGCATGACCTTGGCCAGATCGCCGCCCGGCACCACGGTCGGTGGCTGGTAGTTGATGCCGCACCTCAGGACGCAGCCGTGTCCCCGGGAAAGACGGCCGAAACCCGGTACGGTGCGGTGTCCCAGCACTGAAAGGGGCTTTAGCTGTCGAGGTGAGAATGAAGTGGTAGGAACGGTTGGGATAGTAAGGAGAGATATAAGTCTTATAAGTAGTGAACAAAAAGCCGTTTACTGTATATATTCCCGCAACCCCGTGTGGACACTTTTTGGTGTCCACTTCAACCTTTTTGGCCGGATTTGGGTGTATGACAGCATTTTCCCTCCATATCCAAATCTTGGGCCGTATCTGCCTAAACGAAAGAAACCAGCATCATGCTGCAAAGTCATCGCAGTTTAACGACTTTGGGGGCTTTTGCTTTCAGTATATACTATACATCTTTTAAAGAGTTTTGAAGTCTTTGTGTGCAAGCAAATTTATATACAGCTGCGTATGCGGTAGTCAATAAAGCCGGTCAAGTGACACACACTGGAAGAGTGAAGCGTTGGGGGCTCTCCAGTTATGCGGCGGAGTTATGGACGC